AAAATATGATGTACTGCACCTGTATTGCCTTCAACACAGCTAACTGCAGATTTTCCAACCCCTTTCCACTACACAATTACTCCTGATATTACGATGGTCATCTGTTCATCTTCCAGAGGTAGTTGATTTTACTTTGTTGTAATTTGGTTGTGAATATGTCGGAGTGTCTTAGTCTGCCACCATCTGGCCAGATTTCAACACCCTCAACCTCCTAAAAGCAGGATTTTTTTCCTCTGCTTCCAATCTCTTCCCCTGAAAGCAGGAAATAAATTTCTATGTGGAAGTTACCTTCTCTGCATAGAGAAGAAGAGGCAACTTTTCCTCAAAGACAGGAATAGGAAGGCCCAGAACTTTCAAGAATTTGTCTGGTTTTCTTCACAGATTTGTTTCTTTGTCTAAAATCTTTATAACCTGGCTGTTTTGGTCATTTATTAGGTTCCATATCTAATGGACTTCATGGGTTTGCAACTGAATTTGTGTTTTCTTTTGCTAATCTCTCTCATGTCAGCTTATTTGGGGGCTGACCCAAAAGAAGGAAAGTGGGAGACCAAGTTCCCTCAAAATTTGCCCTACAGAGTCACCATTTTTAACTTGAAGAAGGTGACTTTTAATAGCTGAGTGAATGACTTACAAAGTATATGGTAAGAATATATGTCTTTTTGTCTAGGAAACTACAAAGCCAAGAAGCTATATGTAGTACAGTGGTTAAGAACCTGAGTCAGACACAGCTTGGAATGTGGGCTTGAGTCACTATGCGATTTGGAACACATTAGTCTCTCTGAACTGCACTTGATTTTTTCTTTAAAACAAATACGAGCATAACCTTCCTTTCTCTCACTTGTGGAATTCATTTTATTAACCAATGAAATACATGCTTGAGAAATATTTGCTGTCTACAGAGCACCATGCTTTCTGCTTTCATGGCTCACAGCCTTGTGAGAAAGGACATAAAACAGTTTTCTACCAAAAAAGTATGCTATGAAAGAGAAGTAGAAGGGCTTGGGGAACAATACCGGGAGACCTAATCTCATCTAAAGAGTCTGCAAAATTCTAAGAAGGTGAAGTTAAAGTTGAGCCCTGAAGCATGACACGGGAGGGGGGCAATAGACAGTGGATCGGACGGCTCCAGAATTGAGATGTGGGAGGGGTAGGCATTAACAGCTCTTCATAAAACTACAGCCACTCTCCAGACCTGCCTCACATACTTGGCAAAAATATCTGGGATCAACCATTGATTGCAAATGTTCCTTAATGCACTGAATTCTCTCTAGAGATAACTCCTGAAACACCATATTTACTTGTCCTCTTCTTCCTCCCTAGCTTCACTTGAAATTTTACATAAACTTTATTTTCTAGATTTAAATTTTAATTTGTTTTAGATTTATGGAAAAATTGAGAAGATAGGTAAAACTCCTCGTGTGCCCTGCAGTTTCCCTGATTATCAACATCCTAGTATGGCTTATTGGTTACAATTAATGAATCATACTGATACGTATTCATATTAACTAAAATTCATTTTCCCATCAGTATCCTTCATTTTTGCCAAATGTACAGTGTTTCAGACTTTCCTTGCTTTGATGACCTTGATAGTTTCAATGAGTACTGGTCAAATACTTTTTTTTTAAATTTATTTATGCATGCAAGAACTGGGGTGTAGGACAGAGGTGAAGGGGATGGGGGTAAGAGAATTCACCAGAGACAGAGTGGGGAGCAGAGTAAGTGGATCTACTGAAATATACTGCTGAGGGGAGCAGCAAGCAAGACAGGAGGGGTCTCCTGTACCGTGTGGGTTAGCTCCCTGGCCAGTGGATGGCAGTAGTTTGATAGTGCTGAGACTTTAACCCCTGCACCACCAGGAAGGCCCTTATTGATGGATTGATTATTTATATTAGTAAGGACTCAGATCTTTACACTTTGGGTTATAATCCAGTACTTCTTCCTTCATTTTGTTACTCCAGCTTTGTTCACTGGGAACTACTTTAATTGATTTCTGTCCCTTTAATATACCCCCATTAACATAACTTTTCTTTTTCTTACCTTTTAGTACTACAGATGTTCCAGCATCATTTTATATATTTCTAGTCCTAGCTCTAGATTCAGTCTTACTCCAAGAATTCATGATTCCTTTCTTGGGGTTGGTATTAGAAACCAAGATCTGGTGCTAGTGTTTTACATTGAATTTTAATAAGCTGAAGTAGAACATAGTTGCTGATCCAAATGCACAAAGCATAAAAACAGTGTTGTCCTAATGCAAGTCAGTCTAAAAACCAAACACAATGTAATAAACTCATGCACTCATTCCCATCACTGTCTGGTTGGTCAGTGTCAGTGGTGGAGCTCTGTGAACAGAGGCTTTTGTTCTTGTTACTTCCAGCCCACAGATGTTAGCTATGTGCCAAAAGTCAGCAGTAGTGGGGTTCCCACAATACACACCTGAGTGTAAGGTCAGGTGAGAAACACAGCCTGGGTAAGATAAAGAAGTTAGATGAAAAATCAAGAGGCAAATCCAGAGAAGGTAGATCACAGAAAGAATTATAAAATTGAAGTGGAAAATGGAAATGTAAAGGTATAAAAAAGAAATACTAGAAATAAAAGCAAATACAACTTACTGAACTCAGATAGAGACAAGGGAGGGTGAATGGGAAAATAAAGGGATAAAATGTTAAAATATTAAAAATGTGTTAAGGACATTTTGAAAAACATAAATGGTGCAAATCTGAAATTAGAACTATCTTCAACAGTGCAGTATCTCTTGTCTAGTTAATGATATGGAGAATAAATGAAAAAAAAACCAGATAATACAGGGTAGAGGAGGCACATATTACTCATTATAACTGTGGGTAAGACTACTATATGGTTTATGGCCAAATAATGTTATTTTTGGACCTAATGATATTTGGAAACTATCTTCAAAGTTAAATATTTTAATAGAAGTCAGTCTCCATTGGATTTAGATAAATAACACTGCAATTTTCTTTTCTAACATATATTTATTTATTGCCTTATTATACATATTTAGAATAGACAAGGAAAATACTTAGTGAGATTGCTGATGCTTTTCAATACTAAATGAGCTCAACTTGAGGATTATGTTTTAGTTGTTACTATGTGGAGATCTAATCTTCAAGGACTTGTTTTAATCCCTATGTTCTTAAGAGCTTATGTTTTTTTTGAAAATAAATTCTTGGTTGGCTGGTATGATATCACATGCTTTTATTGAATTCTGTTTTTCTGTTAGTTTTCAGGGATTGTGTCTTCCTCACAGCAGCATTTTGTTAATGATTTTTCTTATATTTGATACATTGTTAAATACATTTCACCCCCTGGAGATAAAGAGCAGATTACTAGCATCTCTCAGTTTGGGGAGAATGGCATATATGTCAAATCAATTCAAGGCTGAATTTTTCATTTTCCTTTACAAAGAACTTCAGAAGGCAAGCTCACCAAAATTGGGCAAATGACATAAAACAGTCATTCCTAATGCAAACTGGTCCAACCACTATGGAGAGCTGTGTGGAGATTTCTGGACCTAGTAAACATAGAGCTTCCATATGATCCAGCAATTCCACTCCTAGGTATTTACCCAAAGGACATAGAAACATCCATTCCAAAGAACACCTGTACCCCTATGTTTATAGCAGCACTATTTACAATAGCTAAGCTTTGGAAACAGCCCAAATGCCCAAAAATAGATGACTGGATCAAGAAGATGTGGTACATATATACCATGGAATATTACTCAGCATTCAAAAAAGATAAACACATGCAATTTGCAGCAACATGGATGGCGCTGGAAGGGATCATGCTCAGCGAAATAAGCCAAAAAGAAAAAGAAAAATACTGGATGGTCTCACTCATAGCAGGAATCTAGAAAACTTAAATAAGGGATCAGGAAAAAGAATAACTATAAGAAAGTGAAAATCAAAATCAACAAAAAACTATGAACCAGAGACACTTTTTGGGGGGTGGGGGCCGGGAGGGGAGGGATTGGGGTCAGAATGGGGCATGTGCAGTTGTATGGGGGAATATAAAAATAAAATTTATTATTTAATAAAAAAAAATAAAATAAAACAGTCATTCCTATACCCAGAGTGTTTAAATTTCTACATTGTGCCATTACAGCAGTGTTGCCCAGATTGGTTTTTGTTTGATGTGTGGACTACTTTCCTATAAATTTTATGCATGGGACACATCTTTGAGAATCACAGGGTTTATAAAGATGACTCTCACATCCATTCTATTTCATCATGTGAGATCCAACTCTAGCATGTAGCTTTCATGAAAGGCACTGACTGGTGGCCTTTTTTATGCAGTACTATGCCACCTTCAAACTGTAAAAGCTTAGAAATTTCTAAGCCAGCAAAGAAACAAAAGTAACATAAATAAGAGTAATGATTTGGATATGAAGTTTTATAGGCAGAAAGAGAAGATCAAGATTTTAAAAGTTTGATACTCTGTGACATTAAGAATTAGAAATTTGCATTTACTAATTGTGGCAAAATAAGTATAACTGCTAGGTTTGTGTTGTTATGACAGTAATAAAAATAGCTAGCATCTACTAAAATTTTTATAAGCATTATGCATTATAATAAGTACTAAATATGGATCACCTTACTTAACCCTCTCAACAATATTTCAGGGAATATATTTTGAGGCAAATGAAGAGTATAAAGAATATCCAATGGACTAGTAATATTGTGGAAACAAATGACAGATGAAACAGTCCAGTTTGAATCAAATTTCAGTATACATGTGTTGTCAAAAATGAAGCCATAAACACAGTAAATCTGGTACTTTTCTGCCAACAATTTTAAAAATATTGAGGCTAATCTCTGATGACACCATAATTTACCAATGTTCGGTGAAGAGGGATCACTGAATAAGCTGATTCTCAGAAAATAAATTTACTTACCTACCCACCTATGTCATTAAAAAAATAATAATTTTAAGACCTCTGAGAAAGTAAATTCCATGGAGAATAGGACTTAGTTTCACTCACTGCTTTACTTTCAACACTTAGATCAGAGCCTGAGTATTTATTTTGTGACTAAATGAATGAAAGGAAGAAAACAGGCTGTAATCAATATATTTCATCCTGTTGTTTGAGCTGGCATATAATTTCTTCACTCATTCATCTATTCTTCAACAACATTTAGAGAGGTTCTGGTTTTGGTTAAACTCTGTGCTCATGTAGCACCAAGAAAGCAGTGATGAAAACCTCCTGCAGGATGCAGTTTGGTCTTATTTCCCCCTAAAAAAATGGAAATTTATTGTCCAGTACATGTGCTACACAGAATGTTAAAAGAACATTAAAGGTCTTACGAATATCTCTAGAGGAAAATCACTGACATATAATTCTTCTGAGTGCCCAATTTTTTACATCCCATTGCTATGTATATATGTGAACATATATGGACAAAGATTTTGTTTTTGGTCCACTGCTGAAGGCTCAGAGCCTAGAACAGTTTACTTTTCATTTCTTGCAATATACTCAGTACTCACATGAAAAAAGGAAAAGTATGGTAAGAAAATGAAATGTGTTGAGGACCAACTGTAGTAAACCCTTCATCAATATAACCCTCACAAAGACATGACTCCAGTCTATTTTCAGAGTATTATTCTCATTTCACAGGTGAGGAAATAAACTTAGATGTAAAGTAACTTTACTCAAAAATCATACAATTGGTCAGTCATCTAACTTGAATTCAAACATGCACTGACTTGTACTACCTGATCCATAAGCTCATTTTACCTGGTAAGCCCTTAATCCTTTAGTCTCAATTACTTCCACAGATTACCTTTTTCTACTTTAATCAGTTCACAAAGGGCTCATAAACACAAGTCTTACGTTTTGGGCTCTGACACATACCAACTATGTTAATCGGGCATAGGAGTCTAGGAAATGTACAACATCATGATTTTTGCAGCTCACCCAAAGATTTCTTTCTTCCTTGTAAAGGTTTGCTGCAGAAGCAAGTGACTCTGTGTTGAGGGTCTTCTACATAGCAATCTAGTGTCCCAGAGTGAGTGACCCTCTGCCATATTATCCTGCAGTGTTTTCATTCAGAGGGGCAGGGGCAAAGCACACCCAGAATTGGACATCAGCTCTGAAATTTTTTCACCCAGAGTGATCCTTATTATCTCTGTTCACATCTTACTCACCAGAATCAAGGTATTCAGCATGTTTCATTTCAGAAGGGCAGAGAAGTGTTATGCTTTGACATGTCTGGAAAAAAAGAGGTTATGAATATCGATAGTGGTATGTCTACCATATCAGCAAATCCCTCTGCATATCTCTTTCTAATGTATATGACTGTTCTTTATTTAAAAGAGTAACAATAGGGCACCTTCTGTTTTACTTGTGGGGCTCTCTCAACATCATCCCTATTTAAATGTCTTTGTTTCTTTTGAAATAGGTAGTGCAGATAATATTGAGACACTAGAAATTATAGATAACCAAAAATAAAATGATAAAAATATCACCCACAAACCTTCCATTCTTTAGTAGCAGTTTTCCCTAGCAAAAACTGAGGGAGACACTGTTTAGCATATTCTACTTGTCTCCACTCACCGCTGCTTCCATGCTTCTGGCAGCTAATCAGAAACCCTGGCTGGTCCTCATGATAAGAGGCACCTTCAAGATTTTAAAACTGTTAAGAACCATAACTTCAGCCCAGAAAGAGTAAATGAGTTCATGGCACATGGTCTATTTCTAGCTTAGACAAATGACTATATTTATTTTTATGATGTAACTTCACTTGAACTTGCATACTATTATTCTAGGTGTGTCATTTTTTAAATTTAGCACTTAACTCATTCCTTTATTGAGTGATTTAAGTTTTATTGTTTTTCTTTTGTTACTCTCATTTAATAGAGAATAAGCCTATAATTAATTTGTTGAAAAGTTAGAATTAGAACTCAGACCTATTTGCTTCAAGTTCTCCTAGTTTCCCTATACCAAAATATGAAAAAAAGTTATAATTAGACTCCCTAAAACTAAGTAATCAGTATGAAACAGTATGACCAATTTAATACACATGCATTTAGCACTCTATAGTATATTAGTAACTAGAAATATAAAAAATGACTTATACAAAGCCCCTCTTTTTGACAATTTTATTATTTGATGGAGGATTTATCTACAGAATAAGGTGAAATAAAGAAACACTGCTTTATAATATAGCACTGGGAGGTATCAATCTTCAATACACATAATAATGACTTTGTATTCTACTTTACTGTGCCTTCTTGCCAACTGATAGGGAAATTTGTAATGATCACTCATCTTTGGCTATCTATCAAATACTCATTTTCACTATGGAAAAAAACTTAGCTATTTCTTACTATTTTGATCTGGTTATGACTTTTTTCCAGCATCCCTTTTCTATTTTATTTTATGGCATTTTCTTGAACCTTTATTCACTGATTGTGTTTGATGTAGTCATTGTCAATAGTGTTTGATGTGCCAGTGCAAATAGTGAGGTGAGCCTATTGAGTATATAAGAGTTTTTCCCAATGTCTTTGACCAATTAAGTAGTAAAACATAGAGGCACCATTTCTATTTTGTTTCCCTAGTGACCTGGGAACACATTGTAAATTTAAAAATAATTATTTCTAAAGTGTCCTCAGATTTGTTTCCACAATTACTAAATATTCCGACTTTTTCTTTTTAGGCTACTTCAAATTTCGACAAAAAATAATTACGCCTGAATGTGTGTTTCTTTTCCAGGAGTTGATGAAATTTTTCCAACTACAGGAGGATCCCTGTGTCCAGATGAAAGGTCAAGTCTCAGGATAATAAGGTCTCATTAGAACTAAGATTTATATTCTCAAGAAATATCATTTAACTTTATCCATCCCCTCTTAACAGATAATATATTATTTGGGTGAAATGAAAATGTTTAAAGATCAAACAATAAATTTATAAAATTAATTTGTTCTCACATCAGCAAAAAGGTCAGAGTTAGTTCTCCTTTAATTTAGCTTTTCTTACTATTGCCTTAAGTGCTATATGAATTAAATATTCTGATGTTTGAATCTTTTAAAGTTCCTTTCTCCCCAGAAAAAAAATCACCGCAATTCAGAGAAATCAAGATGAATGCTTTCCTACTGACTTCTCTTTCATTTTGGACCTATGGTCCTGGGTAGAATTTGGAAACATTGTCATTCACAACTTTGATTTTTTTTCCTCAATCATTTGTTTCAAGTTTTCTCTTTGCTTGTAATTTTTGCTTGGGACTTGTGCAGCAACCAGGCTCTGAGCATACGGGGGGGGGGGGGGGGGTGGGGGGGGCGGGAGGTGGAGGGTGAGTGGGAAGGGGTTGGGGGAGAGGGGCTGGGAGCCCGGGGATGCTGAGAGGCTGGCAAGCCCCCACCCCTCAGCAAATTTATACCCTTTCTCTGGGCTCGCCCTGGCATCATCTTGTGGCCTCACCTCCTCTGTAGTCATGCTGCTCACCCTCTTGTAGCCGTCCTCCCTCAGCCTTCGCGAGTGACGCTGCTCTGCTCTTAATTGTCCCGGCCTCCAGGCTCAGGTGCGCACTGGTACGCATGCCCGAACCCACACGCCAGGTGTCCACAATCAACGCACGCGTGCCCTGCACCCACGAGCCTTCCACATTTACAAGATCAAGGCCGCAGGTGACAGCGCCACAGAGCCCAGTGGCGTAAAAAGCCTGATCAACTTCATTTACCCCAAAGGACCCCAGCTACAGAGTCAAATTAAAGTAGAACTTGAACATTCAAATTATTTAATTCATTGAAGGAAACGTCACACTGATAAACCCAGACTTAGCTATGTAGCTGTTAACACTCAGAGGAAGTTAAGGGAGTCCATGTGATGGTGTAGTCAACCAGTGATTGTAAAAGGGACCTTCCTTTAAAAATATTATACTATTATTTTATAACAAAACATTATTATCCCCTATTATAATAGGAAGGTGTTTAAAAATAAATGCAGTATGTATTAAATGTAGTATTGTATTAAATACTATACTATTTAAATTTTAAGACATAATCTGTTCATTATACTTAACACTTGTCAGAAATTTCAAAGTACTATATCCAAGTTTGGCAATACATTATAAAATTGAATGGAAAATCTGGATAAAAAGTAAAAATTGATGGAAAATTAGATAAATTAGTAGATGAAAGAGTGAGTAGCTAAACCTGGAAAAATTAAGTTGCCAGAGCAACTTAGTGGCTATTCTCATCAACCCATCAATACAAAACCTTGTTTTATTTGTGTTTCTATTTAAAGACCATTTATTTATTATATATTGATTCATTAACATTGAACTCAGGGCTGATAGGACTACAATTGCGCTGATCTAACATTCAAAATTTTTCCACAAGGCATAATAGTCTATTTTTCCCCCTCTTTAAATTTCATTTTTATATGTATTTTTTACATCGTTGTTCTTCCGATAGAATTCCCACCACCAAGTCACCCATGAACCTTCACCACAGTCTCTTGTGCTCTTCCCTCCCTTGTTCTGATCTCTCTCCCTCCCCCTTCCTTGCTGAATGTCCCAAATACTTTAATGCTACACATGGGACATTTTAGCAGCAAAATTACCAACCAAAAGCACAAACAAGAAAAACATAGCATCAAATATTAAAAGAACACTTGTTTAGAGTATAAGAGCTGAAATAAGGAGGCAGTCTTGCCTTATTAGGCCCAGCTGAGAGCAAGTGTGGAGGACAACTCAGCTTTTTTTTTGCTGCCCTGCACATGTTCAAGGATGAGCACAAAAATGCTGCAAGTATTAAATAAATTTTTGCAAGGAGGCAAGTTTGCCAATATGAAATCCATGAATAATGAAATCCACTATTGTTATTTTTAATAACATCCTCACCACGCTTCTCCCACTTTATTTTTTTACAGATTTATTTATTTATGCATACAAGAGTTGGGGTACAGGCCTGAGGTGTGGGGGGTGAGAGGATTCACCAGAGACAGAGTGGGGAACAAAACAGGCAGACAGACTGAAGTACACTGCTGAGGGGAGCAGCAAGCGAGACAGGAGAGGTCTGCTGTGCCATGTGGGTTGCTTCCTGGTTGGGGATCGAACTTGTGCTGCGGTGGCTGTGGATAGCTTCATAGGTTGCATCTTAACCCTTGTGCCACCGGGAAGGCCCGCTTCTCCCACTTTAAATTGTTGCTTTGGCTTAATGTTTCCAGAGTCAGTAAAGAGACCAAGGAGTCACTCCTTTTGTAAAACTGAATATGACAGCTAGGACCCTCAATTTGGAATTTGGGCTGTTGTCTTTGAGCAGCTCATAGACACGTGGATTTTAACATTAGGTGAAATACAGTTGAGATTGTGTCATCATGTTTGCAGTTGCAAACAACAGAAGCCAAATGTAGTGCCAGGATGGCACAGAACCTAGCAGGCTCTCTATTGATTCAGGCAGATGGGCAAAGGATAGTCCTGGAGGCTCAGTGGCTTCTTCAGGCTTTTAATGATCTCTCTACACCATTTGCAGTGAGGCAACCAGGTGCAGGGCAGGCAGGGGGGGTCTGGGGTCCAGGAGTCTGGCAGCCCTCCTAGTCCACCTCCCCAGGAACCTTTTACTCTTTCTGGCCCCTCAGGGTCATCTCTCATCTCTCAGCTGGTCTGGTCTCTCCTGCAGTCTGCAACTTAGTCCCTCTGCCGCCCCAGTGCCCTGCTGCTGTGTGCCCTGCTGCTGTGACGCCGCCCATCTATGCTCAGTCACTCTGCTCAGGGGTGCCCATTCACGCACACCCACACCACACTCCAGGTGCTGCCATCAGGCACACGAGTAAGACCACAGGTGTCAACCACTGATGCTAATGATGGGAGGGCAGAAAAAACCTGATAACTTCCATTTACCCTACACCAAATTTGCATTATTTGAGTTAAAAATGCATTTATCAAAATGATGTTAGAAAAAAGCTGATCTAACATTGGAGGGACAGCTGCAGGACCTGAAAACAGGCCAGATCAAGGGAGGCTGGACTGCGGACAGGACAGTAAAGGAACCCGCGGATGAGACCAGGTCTGTGGCTGCTACCGCTGCCACCACTTCTCGAGAGTGACCTGTTGCCACTGCCCTCTGTTTATTGCTAAGGGATCTGACAGCCACATGCTCCCGAAAGGGATTCTTCTTTTGCTTTGTCAGCTCACTGTATGAACTCCAGAGCAGGTACTACTGATTGACTGAAATAAGATTATGAATCTCTTATCTTCTATGTAAGGAGGAGGTAAAAATAAGGATTGGTATTTTCCATTTCTCTAGTGGGAGGAAGTCTCTGTCTCCCATCAAGATTTCTAAAGTGATAAATATAGCATGTGTATTAAGAGGACTAGGATATTTTATAGTCTGACAAACTAATGAATGTGAGGATTCATTGATTCAAGGCACATGCTTACAAGACTGCATTAACAGAATATGGAGAAAAGCCTGCCTCATTTATTTAATTCAACCTATTTTTCAAATAGAGGTACCCCTCAGAATTTTCTGGAAAATAATCATATGACCTCAGCATTTTCAAGCAATGGGCAACTTTTCACAGTGACATATAAGTCCTGTCCAAAGATTTTTTGATTTCTAGTCCATGGAATCGTTTCATTTCCTTCACTTTATATTTTGCCTTTATCTAGGTGTACTGTAGTTTCCAAATGTCCTGATTTTGATACAGCATGAGTACGCTATTCTGGCCAAAGCTGAAGGCATTTTTTATTAACTTAACCCGAGCTTGTGTTGGCTCTGTCAAGAAACCATAGCATTATGATGACTCATAGTAAGCTAAACATTTAGATATTTTCACATTAACTGCTGCGAAAACCAGTCCAGTAACTGGCCTTCTAAATTTAATCATTTAAAAGATTTAAAAAAGCCAAATTGAGGTTTTTGCCTAAATTTACCTTCTCCAGATTTCACCTATTTCATATTAGTTCAGTGATCTGCTTTGTTGAGATAATTTTTGTTTTAACTAGCTTTATGTTTGTAGGTTTTTTATATTGGTAGCATTTCTCTCCAGGGTTATTAATTTGCTTGGCACATCTATATTTTCATAAAAGTTATTAATAAATTATTGACTAGAAAAAGCACAGAGCAATGTGACCTTTCACCAGTCTTTTCTTCAAGGTTGATCCTGGGTCACTGAGCAACATTTTTTGAATTCCACAGTTCAGCTATATTAAAATAAACCCGATCTTGCCAGGTGCCCTGCATAAAAACCATCAATAACTTCTCCTTGCTCTCAATATAAAGATCTTATCCTTAATAAGACTCACAGTCCTGGCATTGCCTGGCCTGTGCTTTCTTCAGTTTCCTCTGGAGTCACTCCTTTCTTTCTAGCCACAAGACATTGCAGTAATTTTCCTCTTCTGCCTTTTTTCAGTTCAGCCATCTAGTCTCAGCTTAAGCATCACTTCTACCAGGGAGACTTCTCTAACACCATAGATTCTGTCACTTTATTTTCTATGTTAAGTCTTCTTACAGTATCAAATTATATTCCTTTAAAGGTTTCTGTTTGCAATCCTATTTTCATCAGTCTCAAGCTCTGATATGACTCTCCAGTTAGACTCAAGCATTATAAGATCATGGGCACAGTCTGTGTTTGCTCATTATTAATGACCAGTGTCTGGGACATTGTACATTCACTAAATCTTCCTGTCATTCTGAATGAATGACAGAAACCCAAAAAAACAGGATGACCATAAGGATTTAGTCAAATCTGACTGAGACTGTGGAGATGCTAATATGTAAAACACTGTTAGAAGTAAATCCTTACCCACTTCTTACCTGTTTTAGGATAGTTCTATCTCAGGGTTTTTAATCTCAGCATGATTGACATTTGAGCTGGACAATTCTTTGTTGTCCTGTACATTATCAGATATTTAGCAGCATCCCTGACCTCTACCCACTGTCAGAAGCAATCACTCTACCCCATCGTAAAAAACACCAAAATATCTTCAGACACTGCCAAATGTCTTAGGGTGGGGCACTGGGTAAGGGAGAATAATATGACCTCTATTAAGAACAGCTACTGAAACTATAAGAACTTTAATTAGTTATCAAACCAAAAGAGAAATCTCATTTACTTAACTATAATTACAAATACAAAGTGTTTGTGAAGTTGTAGGACTTATGAAGCACTTCACTATTCAATGGTCAGAAGTGTTCACTCGTATATTATTATAACCATGAAGAATTTCATAACTACTCAAGTCCAAAAACATCTTTATTTCAGCCTCCTAGAAAAATAACTTAATTTTATTGAGAAAAATGTTTTATTTTACTCTGCCTGTATCTCATTAAAAAGGCAGATTTCCCAGGATGTCATATGAATTCTAAGGTTTAATTCTTGAACACTTCGATGGTTAGGTCAGTGATTTGTTGGACAATTGTGAACTGTAGGCTGTGGTAGGTGGCCATCAACATGGCTTTTTAAGGGCCTCCCTGGTGGCGCAAGGGGTTAAGACAAAACCTATGGAGCTATTTGCAGCCATTGCAGCACGAGTTTGATCCTCCGCCAGGGAG